GAGTAGCGCACGAGTATGGCACGGCTCACCCGATTGCCGCCCGTCAGATTCGAGATGGCCCAGTTCATGACCAGACGCGTGTGCGGCCCCAACGACAACTGCGACGGGCCTCCGAAACGGAGGTCTCCGGAGCCAAAGAACAAACCGACCCGACCCGATCCGACCCGCGCCCCTCAGCACCCCTTTTGAGAATTGATTTTTCCCTGTGATTTGTCAACGCTGTCAATCAATTCCGGACGTGAAGAGTTGCGAGCTATCTGTCTCACTCGCGCGCTCTCTCTCTCTCTCTCTTTCTCTTTCTTACGCCCGGGGCATCGTCTAATTCAATTAGAGTTGTGCTAAGTGTGCCTCAAGGTCGCGACTGTTCCGCCCCCTCAACGCCTCCAATGCCTTTCCATCCATCTATTTCCCCGGCCTTATATGTGGTACATATAATCGCAGCTAATTGCAATTCCCCCCTCAGATGTCACATCAACACTAGACTACAGAAACTTGGGTTCTAAGCTGCATTGTCTGCGTTTCTCTTTTGAGATTAACATAGCCAAATTTGGTTTCTCTAGTTCTTCAATTTTGGAAAACTATCCATAATAATTTATTATTGTCAGATCTGTTAAGTAGAATCTTCCTTGAATCTACAATTATGCAGAAATTGATATTCAATGGCCGTAATATTACCCGGCGTTGTCCGTAGCAAGTTTATATCTACATATCTTTTTCGCCTAATTCAAGCTCGTTTTTTGTCTAAAGTCCGTCAAATGAAAAGTCAAAAGTTGGAAAATCGTTGAGAATCTTAAAGACGAACAATTAACTTTCATTTATTTAACCTTTGACCCACATTTTCCATACGAAGGGGTTGAATTTTGGGAAAAGTGTGAAACACGTCTTAAATTAATTGTCTCACAGATATTTGAAAATGAGTTTGAAGCTGAACGGAGGAAAAACTAAACACTATCCTACAAAACTTTTTGCCAATTAACCATTGTTGCGAGTGGAATTTCCAAAACTTTCAATTCTTATCTAAGACTTTTTGTTTAAATAAAATCGGAAATAAACTTAAAACTTTGCCAAAAAAAAAAAAAACCTAGAATCGTATTTTCACCGAAAATGAAAGGATTCTCAAAAAGTGTGAAACTTCGGTCACCAAATCGCACTGCATTTATGCTGAGGAGAAATAGATTGTGTAAAACACCCCTCGAATGAATTCGGAAAACTTTGAAAACAAATTTGGATCGATTGGATAGTAAACGTTTTTCACAATTTTTCCGCACTTGCGGGTGGATTTCCCAAGTTTCCGTCTTAGCCTGCACCTGCGTCTTTCTAGCTCTTAGAGTCAGTCAGTTTTCCATTAAGAGAATAAAAAACACAATGCAGGCTGAACACCTTGTATGAAACTAAGGGCAATGCTAGAAATGACAAATTCACCTACGACAAATATCTAAGATCGTGATTAGTCTATACGATATTAAAAGATATTTCGTTATTCACTTTTATGTATTCATTCAAGTAAATGCAATAAATTATTGGAATCAGTCCAAGAGAAGCCGTTTTTTTGAAGATCTGATCAATCGAATAAGGTGAAGATCCTTAAGAAGGAGTTTCAAACCGATCATAAAAACAAAGAATGATTTTCTAAGAGTTTTTCACCCATTTCTCACGAATGAAATTGCCAAAATCGCTGAAACAAGTAAGAATAAGAATGTACGCCCTTCCAAATTTATCTAAAGCTAATCGAACGAACTCGATATCCACCACGATATCGGTGGATTTACCGAAAAGCATGAAACACCTTTCAAATGAATTCTCGAACAAAAATCTGTGAAAATGAGTTTAAGTCGAATCCGATGGAAAGCGAAATTCCGAAAACCCAACCTTAGCGAGGATTTTGGATTCCATTACGTAATCACAGCAAGAAATTAAGCATCTCAGCTTTAACGGTTTCGTGCGTTGATCAGCAAAAAGTCCGTTATAGATATCTACTGTATGTGTGTATGCATGTGTACGTGTGTAATATGTGTGCATGTGTGTGTATGCCTAGTTGATCTATGAAACTGTTTGTTATTGTTGTTGCCATGTGTTTGCTTTACATTCTGATATTGGCAAGTTCATTAAACCGGTTTCGCTTATCGCGCTGCAGTGGCCGTCGCAGCAACAGAAATGCGTAGAAACACAAACAACAGATGATGCAGAAACACAATGGAAGACGACGATGCTGGCGTTGGTGGGGGGGGAGCGGGGCAATGTGTGAGCGAACGAACGTGTGTGTGAAGCGGGAATGAAGATAAATAAACGCAATTGGAAATGCAGCGTGGCCTTGATGAATGGACACGAGGAAGCAAAGTGCATAAATAAATACATACATACATACATGTATGTATGCATTTGTATGGGTGAGCATGAATGCATGCGTGTGCATGTCTGTGCGTGTTTGTGCTTATGCTTGCGTGTGTGTGCGAGTACATCAAAATCAAAACACTTGCCGTTACATTTTGAGAAATCGATAAAACAAAAAATTGGAACTTTATTGATTTTGCAGCGCAACGATAACAAACACCACAATAATATTAAGAGGAAGAAGAAGAACAACAACAAAATAACAGTAAATGTAACTCCTTGTGCGATGGCGGCGGCAGCGACGTCTACGTCAGGCGTTTGGTTGGCCAGACGAAAGAACAACAACAACAACAAAAACAAAAAGAAGAGAGATGAGAAACGAGGCCAATTGGCGAAATGCCAAATGGCGACGAAGCAAAACGCAGAGGACACAAAAGACACCACCACAAGACGGGGCGACGAGGCGACAATGCGACGAGACGACAACGACGAGGCGACATTACGTCGCGTTGTCGCTGTTATCGTGTCTTTGGGGCAGCCTTTGCTGCATACTATTTATAAAAATCATAACTCATTGCGTTTTGATTTCTTGTGCGTACATACGTGCATATATTATTTGTGCTAGCTGCTGCAGCTGATTATGCTTGCACTTACCCCATCAACCAGTCGACCGTGTCGCGCAAATACTCCGGAATACGCTCCAGTTTGACGGCTGCTGATCCCCGCGAGTGCTGGTGCCTTTTGGCAAAGTTATAGTTTTAGTTATTCTGCCAGCGGCTGGGCCAACAACAGCAACAACACACCAACGGCGGCGGCACACAAGTTTTATTGCCTAGCAAACCAATTGACACTTTTACCACTGTAAATCAATAATATAAAAATTTCGTTTAAAACTTTGCACATCAAATTTTCACGCTTCTTCTTCAACTTGTTTTGTGTGAGCCCGATACGTTGCGAACGATATCAATAGGAAATCGATATATGTTCGCGCTTTCGATAGTCACGGCAAATATCGCATGTTCTGTGCGCTGTGATTTTGCTTTCCTGCCTAACAAGGGTCACAATATATATAGTCAAATAAGTATATCGGAACAGTTTTGCTTGTGTATCACTGCACAAATGGAATAATTACGAACATAAAAACTGCCTGGCTTATTACTGTTGAGCAACTATTACACAACAGTTGAGTAGTTGTTGCAGCCCTAGTTTCAAGAACACAGCTGACTACCACAAGTTTTTGCCATTCGCCCAGAGTCGAACAGCTGATGTGAATATTTCGATTTGTGTTTAAAATTTGTTTATAAAATGGATCCCGCCAAGCTGTTAATGCTCTGTGAACAAAACGAATACAATTTGCTCAACTTGCTGGACTGGGAAGAGGAGTTTGAGCAAACAGTGGAAGAGTTTCGCTTGACCCTTGGACGCAGGCGAAAAAAACGTAAAGCGCCGCGCGAATGGAAATTTGTGCGTACAAAAATACGAAGAAATTTAAATGAATATAAAATGAACAATCATATTTACGTATTTCAGCAACGTACTGGCGCATTTTGGGAATCTGAGGTGCCGGCTTCCTCGGAAGAACATTTCATAAATCTCTTTCGCATGGAAAAACAATACTTTCATGTTCTAGTCAAACGGCTGCTGGGCATCAAAAAAAGCGATACCTCGTTCCGGAAGGCAATTCCGATTGATAAGCGCATTGCCATTGCATTGTATACGCTCGGCTCTACGGCGGAATACAGCACGGTGGGCGACCTATTCAGCGTGTCCCCCTCAATGGTGGGCAAAATCCTAAACGACTTTTGCCAGGAGGTCCAGCGTGTCCTGGCCCCGGAATATTTGCCAAAGGAGTTCCTCACCCAAAGCCAGCTGGAGGAGTGCGTTCGCGGCTTTGAGGCCAGGGGCTTGCCTCAGTGTTTTGGGGCACTTGGTGAGCACTTCAATAGAATTAGTAACTACTCGGCTTTCAAATATTTCCTTTAACTTGCTGCAGGCAGCTGCCTCATAGAGGTTAATAATGTGCCAGGCAACATAGCGGAATACTATAACACACAAGATTGGTATTCCAGGATACTATTCGCGCTTGTCGATCATCGGTGAGCAGCTCAATAAATCACCTGATCTTTATTGATAGTCTGCTCCAACTTTTCAGTTGCAGATTTCTTTATGTCAACTACAAAAGTCCAGGTGGCCGGCAAAACGATGAGGTCTACGAGGAGTCCTCCTTGAAGAGCATTGTAAATGCGTCCACATTGTTTAAGTCGAATTCAAAGCTAATTGCGGGCGTGAAGGTGCCCGTGATGCTGCTCGGCGACTCGGCGTTTCAATGTTCCACAGTGCTACTGACGCCCTATGCCAATCCGCAAGGGGAGCAACAAAAGCTTTTCAATAACCAACTGGACGAGTGTCGACGAGTTGTGGATAAGGCGTTGCGCCAGTTGAAGGCGCGATTTTGTCGAATATTCGAGTGCTTGGATAACCATAGCAAACCCTTTGACATTATATTGTGCTGTTGCATATTGCACAACTATTTGAATTGCAACAAGAGCAGGATCTTGGAGAGCTGGCTAAACGAACCGAGAACGGAAAGGATACAGCCCGTGGCTATTGGCGATGCCCGGCAGCAGACGGACGTAGAAGCCGAACACATTAGACAAGGCATTGGCCAATTCCTAAGCACAATCAATATAAGCAAACATTTATTATAAGCTAGCTAAATTACCATTATACCTATTTACTTTTTGCTCTTCATCAAAGCCAGAATTTTACTGTGAAAAGCAGCATTTTCCGCTGCCATGCGTTTCATCACCTGCAGTCGGCACATGGCAATGCGCTCCAGTCGATCCGAGCGATCCCTTTCTATGTCCAACATTGCCGACTCGTACGGCGTCAACTGGCCGGATTTGTTGAGTTTACGTTTCTTGGGTGCAGGACTCTCGTCGGTAACATATTCAGCTGTTTCTGAACAGAACTTTGGCTCAACGAAGTCCAGGTTCTCCAAGTGCTGCTCAACTAGAATCTCGTCGCCGGAACAGTTGCTAAATGGCAAATCCTCAAAGTCAAAGTGTTCTTCCTTGGTCAAAATCATGTCTGTCAAATGGATGTCAATGGTTATTTACTTCAATACACTTGAATGTACATTTATGCACAGACCAGAACTCTGCTCCAGCTCTATGGACAACTTATCGTCGCACTTGGCTTCTCCCAGAATTTTGTAAATGTGCTCGAAGTTTTTCCAGTTTGAGGGCTGGCCCGTTGTGCGCAATTTTTTGAGCTCCTCTCTGTTTTGTAGATAACATTTAGAAAAGCGTATAGCCAATGCGATATGAACACTATTTACTTGTATTTTCTGGTCACGTTATCAACTTTCGTGCGGACGTCTTTCCATCCTAGTTGAAAGCCGGCATCAGTGAGTTTCTCGGCAATTACCTGATATACTTGCTTGGTTGGGCGTTTGGTTCTCAGCTCATCGAGATGTTGATGCCACAGCCTAAATAGTATTTCTTCGTGCGTGTTTCTCCAAAAAATGGATGGCTTACGCTCTTTACTCATTTGATGATCGAATTTTTAGCGCAAAAATCAACAAAATATCAAAACAAAGTTGATTAGGGATGCGCTGCCATGAGAGCAAGCACTATCGATTATTCGATGCGATAGTTGAGCTATCATCGATAGCAGATATGCATAACATGCGATAGCCTGCTCCGAAAAGTCGATCACAATTAAAAGCAGCATTCACATTTATGTCACAGCTGTTTCGATTTCGAGTATTACATCAATTACATAAAATGGTACAAAATTATAATATGTCAGTGTAAAATTATAATTATAACTGCTGAAATAATTCTATTCCGTCATTCATTACATATTTAATTGCAATGCCCATGCATATGAAACGTGATCCCATCACGAACTACTACAAGACGAGCTCCATTATATTGGCCGGCCTCGGCGTGGCGGCTGTAGGCTTTGCTGGCAAACACCTGCTGCGCCGCATGCCGCAGATGACGTCCAAGTTCAACGAGGCACTCAAGAACTTGCCCAAGTTCGATGCCGAGAGCATGGCCAATGCCAAATACTACAAAGGCGGCTTCGATCCCAAAATGAACAAACGCGAAGCGGCGCTCATTTTGGGCGTCAGTCCCAGCGCCTCCAAGCTTAAGGTAAGCACTTCAAATACATTTCATCCAAAACTAATTGCACACAATTCGCTTACTGTGGTCCAGGTCAAGGATGCGCACAAGAAGATCATGCTGCTCAATCATCCGGATCGCGGTGGATCACCATATCTGGCGGCTAAAATCAACGAGGCCAAAGACTTTCTGGATAGCGCGAAATGATTATATTCCGAGCTTTGTAAATAAATATGTATATAGCTGTAAGACGTAAATAACTATCGATCCCCAATTTCCATAAAATTGTGCTCAAGCAGGATCCCAAATCTGCAAGGGTATCAAATCGTCGGCACTCTGACGATGCAATCCATGGATTTAATGACATTACAGCAAAGTGGTTAATGTCGTAAACCATTAAGTGTCTAGATAAATATATTTGCATAAAATATGGCCTAATCGCTTGGTCGAGCCACGAATATCGGCGTATATATATATATATGTATATATATTGGCAGGTTTTTTGTCTAGCTAAATTATTTGAGTCGAAGATGCAGCTCTGTTTAATTCTGCTGTGGCCTGTTCTCATACTGTTCGAGGTCGCAGCTAACGCGGATCATATTATAACCAATGGCTATCCGGCCACGGTGGGTCAGGCTCCGTACATTGTGGGCCTGTTGCTGAGGGAGGGGCATGCGGCCAGATGGTGCGGCGGCTCGATCATAGACCACAAATGGGTGCTGACGGCGGCGCATTGCACGGATCACATAGACTCGGTGAGCATCTATTATGGCGCAACTCGGCGCACACAGGCGCTGTTCCATTTGCTGGTGGGCATCGAGGATATTGTGCAGCATCCCAATTGGCCGGAGAGCATTGGCAACGATATTGCCCTGATCCACACACCATATGTGGGCTTCTGGTCGCTGGTCAATAAGGTGCTGCTGCCGGGCTTTGGGCAGCGCAGCGTCAGCTTTGAGAGCCATCCGGTTGTCACCTGTGGCTGGGGCAGCACCTACGATGGCAGCGCCCTGCCCGACTGGCTGCAGTGCATCGATTTGCGCGTGATCAGCAATGATGAGTGCGCCCGCAGCTATGGCACGCTGCCCGCGAGCGTATTGTGCGTGGCCACGCCCGAGGGCAGATCCATTTGCGATGGCGACTCAGGCGGCCCGTTGGTAACGGTCGACGATCCCAAACTGGTGGGCATTACCTCCTTCAGCGATGCGGACAGCTGCCTCTCGGTGGCGCCAGCTGGTTTCACGCGCATCACTCACCACCTGGACTGGATACGCCAAGTCTCCGGCGTCTATTACTAGAAAGCAACAAATTTCGAATCCTGTAATCCTATCGATTGTGAAATCGACAATCAATTTGACGTGCTCAAAATATATATCGATAGTTGCATTGAAAATATGTTTGCAGTGCAAAGCAGTGCAGCATAATTTTATATCCTGAACTCCTATCGATTGTGAAATACTATCGCAGTTGAAGAACGTCGAAAGATTCACAATCGGTCGGCCGAGCTTAGAATAGTTCGATAGTTGCATTGAAAACATGTTTGCCAGCTAATATAAATATCGGTATATCAACAAAGCAGTGCAGCATAATTTCAAATCCTGCACACCTATCGATTGTGAAATTGTTATCGAGGTTGAAGAACGTCGATAGATTGACAATGAGGGGTCGCGCTTAGAATATATCGATGGTTGCATTGAAAAGATATCTGCTAGCTTATATGAATTTCGTTGCAAGCAGTCGACAAGTCAACAAAGCAGTGCAAAAAATTTCAAATCCTGTAATCCTATCGACTGTGAAATTGTTATTACCGTTATATCACGGTGATATGTTTACAGGTGTCGTGCTCAGAATATATATCGATAGTTGTATTGAAAGCATACTTGCTGATAAAAATATGGTTGCAAGCAGTCGATATATTCGCAAAGCAGTGCAGTTAGCGCATTTCACAATTTTATTTAAATTCGTGTTAACGGTTGCAACAACTGGAAGATTCGTGGTGTACTTAAAATTTAAATGCTTTGAATAATAATTCAATTGGCCGTCTGGCTGGCTGGTTCCATGTTGTCCATAACCTCACGGAACTGCACCACAGAGACCAGACCGTTCTGCTCCTGATGTGTCTGCATGAGTTGCTGCCAAATCGTATCGAAGTCCGCGTTGCTGACAATGTCCTTGAAAATGAGCTCCAACTGCTCTTTGGGACGCAGCAGCTGAAAGTCGCTGGGCGACAGTCCATATAGCAAGGATATATCCGGCGTGAGCAGGTCCTTAACATGCGTCGAGTCATCATCCAGCTTCTTGGGTCTCGGCTTGCGCATAGCTGGCGCCTCAACCGGCTGCTTGCCGAGATCGGAGCAGAACAGACGATAGGTGGTATCCTTGTTATAGACATTCGCTGGCATTGTCGATATGTTTCCCGTGGTGGGCAATGAATTCTGTATGGACAGCAATCGGCAGAAGTCATCGTAGTTGACACGCTCCGTGGGACAGTTCTCGTCGAGAATCATTTTGAAGTGGGCGAGCGTGGTGCGCATTTTGTATATATCAATGTACAGATGCATCTTGTGCATCACCTCGAAGATCTTCTTCAGCGGCAGGTAACGTGTCTGCTCCTTGTCGCTGTGCTCCAGCACCGAGATCAGATCAAACATATGGAAATCGGAGCGTTTCTGCAGCTTGTGACGCCACATATTGAGATGGCCCAACGCCTCGATCAGATGCTTATTGCTCTGGCACGGCGAAATATCCTCGATGAGCATCTTGCAGTCGCAGTCCGGCACATAAGTGGGCGTGCCATAGATCATGTCGGATGGCACCAAATAGGGGTATCTGGCCGGGCAGGGAGAAGGCTGCATGAATTGGCAATGGATCATGGGATCGTGGGAGCACTCACTTTTTGTACTTTTTACCCAGACGCGGAAAGGTGCGATCAATAAAGTCCATCTGCTCCTTGCTGATGATGATGACATGGCCGGCGCATTGCTGCAGGCAACGCTTCACCAGCTGGCCGCTGACATCGCCTCTGGTGCCCGCTCCGTAGGTGGCATCCTTGCAGAACGGCTGCTTGTAGCTGTCATGGGAAAGGACGAGATTAGCGAGGAGTACATTAAAGGGCTAAAGAGTGGTCGCACTTGCGATTGACCTGCTCCGAGGGGAAATAATGATTATGGCTGATCACGTATTTGTCATGGAATTTGGCAAATTCGCGATTCACCTGCTCGGCCGGCTTTGGCGGCAGCACCATATCGTAGAGCCTCTCCTTGGATCTCGTCTCGCGTCCGAATGTGCAACTCAAATTGGTGACATTGTCCGGCTTGGAGCCCGTCGGCTTCACCTCACCCAATTTGGCCTGCTTCAGGTACATCTCCTCGGAGAACTTCTCCTTGAAGACGGTGAAACGCGATTTGGATTTCTCGATGGCCATCAGCTCCGGCACAGTGACCGTCGGCAGGCAGGGCGACTCCCGCCACAGGAGACCCGCATTCCTCAATTGCTTGCGCCTGCAATCCGTTCGCATCAGGTGATCGGCCACCTCCTCAATGTGCGATATGGTCATGCACTTGCTGGCGCTGTTCTCGTCGTCCACAGCCGATCTCACACCTGCCGCGCGGATATCCGCATTGCGATCTCTGAATCGACCTATGTTCATGTTTCTCAACTTGTATCTCCTGCGGCAAAATATATCAAAGTATTTATTCGGAGTCCGTTTAAGTTTCTACTTTCGAAATATGACTGCAAATGCTATGCTAAGTCCATATTAACAACATTCAACGACGGCAAGATACCCTATACTGTCTAACATATGCCTAATTGCTTGAATAGACTGCTAGCAGAAATTAAGCGGCATTGCTCGGCTCCAATTCCAGGTGGATTAAATGCACAATAACAAATTGATAAACATATAAAAAATTGTAGAGAATTCTTGCTGGGTTTGAACCGCCGACTGCCCGCTTGTTGGTCCGACGCTCTGACAATCTTAATCAATATGTTGCGACAAAGCTTTTGTCGAAAACTGAGGGGGATTTAGGCTGGGCCTCAAACTCCAATCCGGCTTTGGATTAGTTGCCGTTCTATGGAACTTATTCTAATCCGACATCTATCAATCTATGTGGATAAATAAATAAATAGTTTTATTATCTATTCAGATAGTTAAGAACATAATTTAAATAACTTATGCGTGGCTTGGCACCAGCCAAACTGTTCGAGCAGCTCCTTAACTGGATCATTACGGTTAATTGTACACAGGAGTGCAGGGATGGCTTATTGCAATGCATAATTCTTTTGGAGTATAAAGTCCCAGGTGTCCTTCCAGCGCAAATCGATGATTTCCTTGGCGGACATCTTTCTGGAGCCGTAGCTCAATGGCAAGAACTTGATGAAGACCGCGCAGACGGCAATCAGCCAGAGCAGCAGGGCCAGACGATAGATGCGCACCAGATGCACAGCTAGTCGGCTGCGACTGCGGCTGCAGTGGCTCCACAGCAGATAGTCGACATGGTCGAGCACATAGCAGAGCAGCAGCAGCTTGAAGACAAACGCCGGCAGATAGTTGTGCAGAAAGAGCGTACGATCCACAAAGAAATAGGGCAAATAGTGCACCAGATAGCCGACAAAGAAGGTGTCGCCGGCGCCAAGGAAGCGCCTCCATTCTCCGGCGGAGACATCAAAACACAAGCGACGGCGACGCAGCGCATAAAAGACTAGCAATGCGGCATAGAGAAACAGACCCGCGCTGGCCATATACCAGATGAGCACATTGCCCAGCAGATAGATTTGGGCGCTGGAGCTGTCGTCCAGCCAGTAGGCGATGCCCTTGTCCAGCAGCGGCCACTCGTGCGGCTGGGAGCTGTACATGTGGCTCTGCACCTGTTTGGCATGCCAGAACATCTTGGTCTGCAGCTCGAGCAGCTTGGCCCAGAACGAGAGCTTGGTCCGTTTGGTGGGAATCATCTCGGCGGAGAGCAATTGGCGCTCACGTTCACGCTGATCCTGAGCTATAATTGGAAATGTTTTATTATATAGCACAATACACTTCTAGCTTCTGTCACTTACTCTTGGTGTAGCGATGCTCCTCCACGTTCCAAATGGCATCCTGATGCATTGGATCGCGATCAGCGACCACCTCGTGCTGATTGAAGCCCCAGCTGGGCAGCTGGCGGCCACTGAAGCGCAGCGCGGCGCCCGTCGTCTCGTGTATAAGACGTATCTCCGACTTGATGGCATGCCAGCGATCGCCCTCGGTCTGACGGTTGAGTATCTCGACGCGCCACAGCAGCTCACCGGCCATCTTGATCTCGTAGTCAATGTAGCAGCTGACCTCCTGGCATTGCGGCGTCATGGGCGCCGCCACGTCGTGCGAGTTCAGCGCACGGCTGGTAATGCCGTGCACCAGCTGAATGACATCGCCATGTCGTATGACATCGGGCTGTTCGCCCACCACCAGATCATCGCGTTCCGGCCGCTTCACAATCCACCAGTTGTTCACGTCCTTGAACGAGTAGCATGTCACCTGCTGCTGATGCGACGAGCCACGCTGATCCTTGTACCTCACCGGATACACGGCGGCATGCGAGTGCAGCCAGCAGGTGCGTCCGTGCGTATGCCGCAGCGTTATCTGCGAGCCGTGCACCACAGCCAACGGCTGGCCGCGTGTAATCGACGCCAGGCCGCCGTCCAGCGAGGCCTGAAACGCACTCGTCATGATGGTGTCATGTGGCCCCGCCCGATGTAGCGTCTTTAGGTGCACGTAAAAGACGCCCAGGTAAACGGCCAGCGGAATGCCGACAAACAGCAACAGTCTGCCTAGTGCGTGCAGCCAAAGTTGGCCATCTATCAAATGGAAGGAGGAGTTTTTCAATACAATACAAGAGTTAAGATTTCTGTTACAGATCTCTGTTACTAATCTCTGTTACTAATCTCTGTTACATAGCTCTGTTACATAGCTCTGTTACTTATCTCTGTTACAGATCTGTGTTACTGATGTCTGTTATTGAGCTCTGTTACTTAGCTCTGTTACTGATCTCTGTTACAGATCTGTGTTACTGTTGTCTGTTATTGAGCTCTGTTATTGATCTCTGTTACTGATGTCTGTTATAGATTTCCCTTACTGATATCTGTTATATCTCTGTTACTTTCTGCCTGACTATTCTCTCTGTATCTCTCTTTTCCCTTGTGTCTGCGTTTTCTCTCTCTGCTAACCACTTACACTCTCTATTCATTTCTGCATGCCTTCTAAGCGTTTATAGTCTCTCTCTGTCTCTCTCACTTTTGGCAATTTTGCATCATTGAACTGTTTTGCCTCTGTGTTAGTCTATCGATTTCTTTTTCATTTAAACTCCCTCTGACCCCCCATCTTCGCATATCTATTTCCCTCTCTTAAATGCGTATTTCTCTTTACTCACTTGTCAAAGTCGCATCGTAGAGCAGTTTCCAGAGATGTCGACAAAGCAAATAACCGGCAAGGGCCAGCGCCAGGAAGCCAACATACTTGACGCAGCCGGCGCAGGCAAGAAAGAGCGCAGCCGCCGCTCCGCTGCTTAGCCAGTTGAGGCTGCCCAGCGAGCAGCGCTGGAAGCGCAGCAGACAGGCAATACCCACGGTGCTGGCCAGCAGCAGCATCGATTCCATGAGTATGAAACGCGACTGCGTCAGCAGAGCATTGTCCAACACAACGAGCAGGCCGCCAAGCGCTGCTGCCCAGCGACGCAGCTGCGCTTCCAACAGCAACTTGTAGACGGCCGGCGCGAGCAGACTTCCACAAAGTGCGGGCACAAAGCGCAGCCAGAAGACGGGCACATTTGACGCATAGGTGGCGCCAATGCGTGGAAATGTGTAGTTGCCATCGTAGCCGACAAAGCTGACAAGGCCAGCTATCAGCTGCTTGCCCAGTGGCGGATGCTGATCGAAGAAGAAGATGTTGCGCATATAGTGCGATATATATTTGCCGTAATGCAGCTCATCGAAGCTGTGTCAAAATTGAAAAACGCAAAGATTAGAAACAGAGAAAAAACTTTAAAATGCATCTCTCTTCCATTACTTACACAACATGCGGCGGCGTTGCCAGCTTATAGAAACGCGTTAAGAACGCCAGCAGAAAGAGACCCCAGCTGATGAGATCAATGTGCAGGCTAACGGTTAATTTCGCTGCCGCAGCGCTGTCTGGGCTCTGCCTGAGAGGATCCCCAATATTGCACGAGTTGCCGCCGACATCACAAGAACACGAACGCGAACGCGAACGGGAACGGGAACGGGAAAGGGAACGCGACTGCTTAGATGCAGAGGTAGGCGTAGGCGATGCTGTCGTCGTCGGCTTAAGCGTTTCTGATGCTAGAAAAGATTGCCGACTCGCTGAGCGTCGACTGCGCTCAACGCTGCCGCGCAATGGTAGCGCCAGCGGGGTATTCAGGTGGCAGTTTATATCGCGGCAACAGTTGAGCATGGTGATGGCTGTGGTGGGCAGCATGCCATTACAGCATAGTGGTGAAGTTGAATTGCAATCGATTGGCGCTGCCGCTGCCGCTGCCGCTGCTGCTAGTGCACCGACTGAGGTTGCTGAACGGCTGCGAAAGTGAAGTCTTTCGTTTTGTTCGTTGCTTGCGTTTTGATTTTCGATGAGGTTTTCCGCAACATTTTGCCGTTGTTGTTGTTGTTGTTGTTGTTGCTGCTGTTTCGACTTGGAGCGCGTTGTCTTGCGTCGCTGTACGCTGTGGCTGGACATGGTTTCGCAGCGTGAGAATATTGCGGTTGCTTTTGTTATTAGTTATTCGCCAAGTTGCTCGTACTTTCACTTTTCATATGCGCACACATACATACATACATGTTAATATACATACACACTAAAATGCAGGCGTTAATTGATTTCCGCGTACACTTTTTTGAATTTGATGTTTGCCACGTCTGCCAAGAAACCTGCTGCTTGCGACGCTTTTGCACTTTCCTGCGCGGCCACTTGTTGTTTGCTTTGTTGTCTTTGGTTTGCCGTTCACAAATAACATGCTCAAGCGCCCAGCGGCTAAAGAAAGTTCAACACACACACGCACGCACGCAGCGAGAGAAGATCACTAAAAATATATTTGTGCTGTGTGAGCGTGTCGGCGGGGCACGCGCATATCTTAAGTTGCTTTTTGAAATTCTACTTTTTGCTTTGCCTCAATGTTCGGCCACTCTCCGCAATTCGCCGACTCGCCCGTTCAAGATCTCGACGCGCACTGACACAGCGGCCAAGGTGTCTGCGCAGCCGCAGTGGTTGCTGCTGCCGCTGCCGCTGCCGCTGCCAGCGCTGGAATGCGACCCGTTTGCTGTGCCTGAGTGTGCGTGCGTGTGTGTGTGTGTTTTGACTGCGTCTGCTTGATTCTTAACCCATTTCTGATTCACAGCCGCTCGCTCCCTCCTTGAGCCTGTTAAACGCGCACTGCAATGGTCAATAAAACAGAAAATGTAAACAACTGTTACTTTGAGACACCTTTTTGGCATAGCAGGTTTCAAGGTAGCACGCGACAAGTTGTTAGATAAATATTTGTAACATTTAGCACATGTTAATAGTTTCTCTTGTGAAGTACTCTTGGAATAAATTCAAATCCTACTCAGAGAAGCTAGTTTCATGCGAATGTCCACCTTAAATGATTTGCTTATTAAACTTAAATATTTTATTGTGAAATTAACATCGTAAGGATAATCTTAAATTTAAGATTTATTCAAAATAGGTATAAATGCAATTATATATTGTTGAATTTATAATATTACAGTTACCAAGCCTAACGCCACTTGCTGAATTTTCTTGTGCTTACTAGACAGTGAGTCACCCTACTGCATATACATGTATGCCCTAGTCGACGTGCTATGATTTCAAATGGCAAAATTGCGCTATACAAATACACACACACACACACACACACATGCACGCAGTCACACCAAACCACTAATAGAGAGAAAGAGAGAGACTTTTATGGAGAAAACATGTTCGATACGAAACGTTAACGAAACTTCGAACTCAAACTCTTTGGAGACTTTGTCTGTTGATGATGGTGCAGCCTCTGGAGGCGAGAGCGAGACAGCTAGTGGATAGAGATAGCATAATAGAAGCAGAGTTGGGGCTGCAACTGGAACTTGTTGGGCAGAGGAAACGGGGGCATTTAGGCGTCGACTGTGCTCCCACTTTTCAGGTCTGGCGATGACGATTGCGGGTGTCTGGATGCCACAGCTGCAGCTCCGAGTGCAACGCGACTGCCAATTGGGGTCTGTGTGTGTGTGTGTGTGTGTGTGGAGGGCAACACGGCATCCTTGCAACAACAGCAATACGGCCCAAAAGGAGGCAAAGCGTTGAGTTTGTTGCTGCTGCTGCTGCTGCTGTTGGCGCATTGGTTGCAGGTTCTGTGCGTGTGTGTGTGTGCCCCAGCCACGCGCGGCAGGCGCAGAGCCGCACAAGTGCAAGGATATTGTCGCCACCAGCAGCCAACCGCCAACCGCCTGGCATGCAACGCAATGTTGCCAGCATCGTGGCCATTGCCTGAGCCTCATTTTCTCTGACAGGAGTCGGGGTCTGGAAGTGGGAAGTGGGTGTGGGTGTGGGTCCTGCCGTGTGCCACTTTGGGCAATGTTCGTGGCCGTGGCCGTGGCCTCGACTCGTGCGCTCGTTTCACTCCAGCCAAGGCCAAGCCTGCCAAAGGACGACGTCGCCGTCGCCGTCGCCGTCGCCGTTGCCAACGACGCTACGGCAACGGCGATAATGTGGCACAATGACATTGACATTGAACTAGGTCGAGGACGTTCGCCTCTTTAGCCACCGTTTTTGGTTAATGGTTACGTGTCCGTAAACCCCCCAACCCCCACACCCCCGCCCCATTGCTGCTGCTTAACTGTCTTCCGAGTCTGATTATGCCACATGGCCAGCTGCGTGTGTTTATTGTGTTGCAGCAACACGTTCTGTTGCTGCCACAAGGCAAAAGCAAATGCATTAACTGTTGCATTAACGGTTCTGCTTTCGACTCGTTTCATAAATGGGCGCAAACTTGGCTCAAATTTAATGCAGCATTCATTTTCATTGCCTTTTATTTTGCTTTCTCCATCTGCTAAGCAGAAATACTTGTGGACATTAGTAGTAGCAGTATTAGGCCAGACATTAGATTGTATTAGAAACAAGTCGGGAGTTCACGACTAGGGCATACCCTGCACCTTCTTCAACCAATAACAAATGCAGCTCGCGGCACGGAATACAATAAATTCGCAGAAATTCTTAGAATTTACGCTAGAAGTTTTTGGTTTCCTAAACGATCCTGTGCTAAACAAAAATAAGCATTGTCTCAAAATGAAAGATGTTTGTGAAAATCTAAACAATTTTCCTCAAAACACAGGATTTCCATATCTATATCGATAAACTCATATTTGGCGGGCACTTCGAAGACGAAGACCTTCCAAGTTTCAAGCCTCCAGCTCTTATAGGTACAGAGATACTTTCGTTCATAGATACGTACGGAGGCTATTGATGCTGATCAAGTATCCCTTTTTCAGTGGGTTCAGGGTATAAAAAAGCCTACTCTAACCATATGAGGTACCTCATTAACAGTTGAGAGCCGTGTGCCTGAAGTAGACCCTTAATTAGTTCTGTCTCGGACATAGCCCACATTGATTTCATTGACTTCTTGTTTTGAAATTCATATTAAAGTAGTTTGTTTTTGTTTTTTTATGGTGTTTCATATGATTTTAAATAAAACTTTTATAAATTAGCAAGCCCATTTAGACTTCTTTCAAAGACTCGCAGAGCTTCCTAAAGAGACCATTCGATGGAATCACCTTCAAAAATTGTATTCACTTTTTTTCACTATGTAATTGTATATGTATAATAATTACGAGAGTGTCCGACTAAGGGATGGAAGCAGAGATTACATTTGTTTAATCCTTCTTTGCTCCTGTTCAACTAATTTGCTTGAATCTCTTAAACATGGAAAGTTCTTTAGTTTTGGTTTCTCTAGGCAACAACAACTTGAAGCACTCCATCGATTATTTTTTTTAATTCAACTTTATTTAAAAGTAAATAAAGGAGTTTGTATCGAATGCTACTTCATTTGAATTTGTTTAATTTGCGTCAATTTTAGTTGGGATTACAGCATCTGCATTTATTTATATATGAATTGTAACTAATTTAAGCTTCTTTACAATTAAATAATAATTTGTTATTTATTTCATTTTCCCCTGCTTTTAGGGCGTATAAGCATTTTGACTCTCTTCAAGGAGAATTTCTCATCTTTGTGGTATTCCAAGTTATCATCTGTTGCACTCCCATCAGATTTACCCAAAGTGATCAAGGTGTATTGATCCTTCTCGTCAGAAATGGCAAATTGTTCGTATCTTCTGTATGTAATGTAAAATCATTCCATATGTTTATAGAGCTCATGAGGCTGGGCGCGCGTCAAGCGATGAATCCTTGCCACCCCAAGGAAGAAGTCCCCATCAAAGGATCCAAAACCTTCACGGTATGTGGCCCAATTCCTGTAGAAATCCTCCTTACCATTGATTCGCTGCTGGATAATCGTCCAAGTACATCGATAGGAGCTTCTTGATCTGGAGTAATCTTATGAGTACCCGGAGCAACAGCAAAGTCATTGCAACCACTGTGAACGGGCTTCTCTTCGCAGCTCTTAAGTTTATTTTCACAAATGTTGATTTTGTGTTTGAGTTCTAATACTTGTTGCGCCTGTTGATAAATTGACTTCTTTTGTGTTTCCAGTTGCACTTCATAGCCGGGATTTTCAAGGAATTGGAAATAAGTTCACCAATCTTTTATTGCCAAAACTTCGTTAGTTAGCTCTTTGATACTCTGTTTGTGGAATTCATTCTGAGCTCTAAGTTCCTCGATGACCTGTTTATTATTCTGGTTAAGTTCTTCCTGCAGTTTTTTGATGTCTCTATCTTTGCTTTCAACCTTATTGTTATTGTTTTCAATTTCCTCCTTCATCTGATGAATATACTTTAACAAAGGTCTCACAACCTTATAGGTGTGCTCTCCACATTCCTTCTCTGCTATTCTGGTTGCCTCACAAGACTGATGAAAAGGAGTCTGAATTCTTTTTTGCACACAAACATTTATAAATAATCTATTTTTACCTCATTTTCGCTAGCCTCTGCTTCAGCTATGATCAGTATTAGGCTTATAAATAAAATATATTTAAACAAAACACATTTCATTTTGTTAGCACTTTAACTTTGGAATTGCGAAAAGGACGTAAATAGACTAAATTACGGCGATCAGTCGGAGCCTCTTTTGTCCAATATTTCGGCGATTTTAGGAGATTAACAGCAGGTCAGAAACTTAATATAAATAATAAATAAACAAAATGCATGGATCAGACTTTATGTGACCTTTACTGAACTGTTGATAGATTGCAAATAGGAAAGATGAAAGAGCAAAAGCAAAACATATTTTTTTCCTTATGTGCTTTAGTTGGAAATTCCACGGAAATGGATCGAATCAGTTCGTCGTCTGATCAAGAATATATAATATATATATAAATCGGAGTTGCTGTCTGTTACGTAATTTTGCACGTAAGATTATAAAGATAATGTGAGTTAGCCAAATCGGAAGTACAAATTATTATAGCGAAAATGAAAGAAACAGAAGATTCGATTAATTAGAAAATAAATGTGTATTAGAAACAAAATTCATAACGAATTTATGAAACGTTTGAGCTCAAACACATTTTGAAAGAACTTTGTTCAAATTCACTTAAATGGTGTTTCACACTTTTCCAAAATTGTATTCCCCCTTGGCGGAAATGGGGGTCGCAGCTTTGGTGGGTAACTTTTCGAATACCTCAGGGAAATAAATATATATTACTACGGTAATATTAGGCGATGCGGCAGAACGAACATTATTAATGAGCCGTGCAATAGTCGAGTCCATCAAGTTTTAGTTTAATTTGCTTCCCGAGCTAATGAAACGTCATATATGACATTTGACCCAAGAATTCCATAATGTAATTTTTAAGGATTTGGATGATTGCCATAAGTATTGGCGCGATTTGAGGCAACCGCGTCAGACTCGACATAGGCGGAATCATAGTGGCGGCTCACTGAAGATTTGGGCAACTTTTGGATATGGTGGAACGTCTTCGATTTGTTTCATACCGACCAGAACCAATGCGGACATCCTCTTTGATGATAAGCTTATTGAGTTTTCGGTTGACTTGTACGGAGCTGACTGGATCTATCAGCAAGACAACGCCCCAATACACACTGCGCGCAAAACAACAGACTTTCTATTAGAAAGAAAAATACCGTTCTTGGAAAGGCCAGCGATCAGCCCGGATCTAAACTCAATAGAAGACCTATGTGGCATACTTTGCAATAAAGCTTACAAGGATGTTCGACAGTTTGAGACCATAAAGCAACTTAAAGAAGCTTTACTGAAGGAGTGG